GGAGAAAATACATAATTCAAAAGACTCAGCTTTTTAATTAAAAAGATACGTTGAGTGAAAATTGAAGGCACAGAAAGCTCTTGAAACTGTAAATATAGGTAAAGACTTCTATACTGAAACATAATAAAATCCGTTTTATATAATTTGATTAGTGAAAGAAAACATAATATTCATAACCAAAAGGATAATGAAAAAAATTATAAGGAAGATTTATTTGGCCTTCCTACGTTTTTGTGCCAGCTAACTAGAATGAAATTAGGAAAACAGTAGGGACATATAAATCTTCTACAAAAATAAGGATATCTTGTGCTTTCCAAAATTTCATCACAGTGAAAATTTTTCTACTTTATAATTTCCTTCAATTATTTTGTAAAGGCAAGAAAAAGCAACTTAAAACTAAACAACAACAAAAAAATCATGCTACAAAATTACCACGTGTTTCACAAGTCATCTTTCCTTTTTCTTTTCTAAAATTCTAATACCAGTTTTATTAGAGCCAGCCTAAAATGTTATCTCCACTTGAGGAGATAAAGGGGAAAAAATGTAAGCCTTTTCTTAACTCCTAATGAAAAATATTTTATTACTGAAAATAACTTGAAAGGATAAGAATGGAAAGTTCTATTAAATTAATTATTTCACTTCTGCCATCTTTGTCCATTCTATGTTTTCTAGTGCTTCTTTCAGGTTGGTTTTTATAAATCCAATTTTAAAATCAGAAGAGTTAATGTTAAAATGATACATGCATGCAGAAATTACCAATTGGGTTCTCCCAGAATTCATATTTCTATTTTTTCTTTTGGGAAATTATTTTCTTCTTGTAAAGTATGAACAGTTTATTTTTCAGAATTCCAACTTAAATCTCTTTCTACAGTTAACTTTAAGTGTTCTAGCAGTACATTACAACAACCTAAATAGTTTTTTCTATTACTTTTAAAATAATCCTTAAAAGAGTTTCCAATGTATTTAAAATGAATTCACCAATGTGTTCAGCTATGATCCAGCTGCACCAGGGAACACAATGCACAAAATGAGAAGGAAAGAATAGCTTCACACTCTTCTTCAACTTCCTTCATCTTTTCAATATATTTTTTTCTCCTCCTGTAATGTTTATTTTCTCAGGACACTTCCCTCACCATTACTACTGCATTTTATTTTATTCTTCATTGCCTGGTTCAGCCCTTTATTATTTTATTGTTGTGTTAGATGGACAAAAGCTTTTTTTTGCACTACAGAATTGATTGCTTCACCACAGGAGTGTCAGAAATCAGCAGGGAGTTGAAAAAATAAACATCCAGAGCCAGTGTTTCTCCAGATAGAAACAGGAGGGAACAATGTTTCCAACAATAATTACTCATGTCCATCTTGATGGAAACACTCCTGACATAAGAAATAAAATTTATTTAAAGAATGAAAATAGGAGAATAGAACAATTTCTATCAAGGAAGTTTTAGTAAAAGCCATGGAAGTTGTCAATTCCTCTGTTTTATTCAGTCTGTTAAGGTCGTGATGACTTTGTTCAGGCATTTGCTTTCTGCAAATCTTAGAGCATTGCTATTTACTCTCTTTTTTTTTTTTTTTAAGGTAGTTTTATACAATTCATAATCCTTATATAGTCTTAATATTCAAAGGCATTGATAAGTCTGTCAAGTCTTTATAATTTGATCAAATTCTTGATTTTGATCTTTCTTTATCACAAAGAAACATATTCCAACAGGGAGAAAAAGAAAAAAAAGACTCTTTCAACATGGAAGATGGCATACCATCAACAACCTTAATATTATATACTATATTCAAAATGTATATATTATTTATAAAACTACTTGGCTTTATGAAATAGGAATGAGTTCTATAGGAATTAGGGAACTTAAACAAGTACTGCAGAGGCTCTGCTTAGGAGCACAACACTGACCTGTCTTTGTCTCACTGTCCATTGGAATTCACTCCCATCACAGGCTGGACAGGTGGGTGCCTCAGGAAGGCAGCTTCAGAAAATGAAAATGGACCAGCTCAACAGAAATGCCAGGCCCAGGAGGGCAAGGAAAAAGAAAACCTGCTTGATATCACGTGGGTACTGACAAACACAGAACTTGGCTTTCCACCTCCTTTTTTAGACAACTAACTGTCCTTTTGAGGAATTAAATGAGCAAATATAATCAAATTGAATTACACCTTGCGGAATTAAATTAGTTATAGTGGTTGGATCAGTTCTGTGGTCCACTAGCTCCAGTTCTGTTTCACAAGGTTCTCTCTTGACTCATTTATTCTCCCTTATTTTCTTTTTTTAAACATTTCTTCCTTTATTCTTTTGATTTCACCTGTAGAACTAATTTTTAAATGACACACATATACAGACCCATCTGCATGCAGAACATTCCAAGACAGATAGTTTCTCTTTTTTAATTCTTCTTTTTTTTTTGTAATTTAGTTGCATTTAACTGAGCTACTGTGAAAGGAACAGAAGTACTTTTTTTTCAAGTCAATAGAGTTCAATATGTTTTACTAAAATAAAAACCAGTTGCAGGTTAAATTTTAAATTTGATGAAAATATAACCCATGCAAAAACTTCTCCTAAGATATTAATCATATCTTATTATCTGCATCTAGTAGCAGAGAATTGAAGAAACTAAGGAATCTCTCACTGCACAAGCCATTTCAAGTGGATTGAAAAAAGCTCCAGAGAGCAACAGACATGCACCTCCAATAAATGGAGTTTGGATGATTTAAGAGAATTTCCTTTAATACTCTGTATGAAAACCTGTTGCAGAGCTGAAAGCCCAGATTTTATCGTACATGTACTGCAAAATACAAGAAGAAAACAGAAAAGTAAGGATAAAGCAGTTAGAATCCCTGCAGAAGCTGCATGATACATAAAAAAGTAACTAATTTTTGAGTTTGCAAATTGTGCTGTTAGGAAATATGTAAAGATTATCTGCAATATATAACTCCCACTTCTTGCTTTAAACTTTACATCTTACTGTTCCTTTCAAGTCCAAAAATACTTTAATTTATTCTGGCTTGCTGGGGTTTCTTTTCTGCTAAGAATTTCTATCTTAACAAAAGATTTTCTTTTCAAAGTTGTCAAAAAAGACAAACTATTTTTCTTATTTTACAAAAATTGACCATAAAATTATCTGGTGATGTAATCAGTTCATTGTCTCCCCCTCATTCCAAAATTTCATACCTCACTGGAGTTACATTACATGAAAGATTTGTCTCATGAAAGTCAGTCAAAATTCACTGATTTGGCCCTTTGGAGAGCGCACAAATTACCAGAAAATCTGGGTGCATGTTATAAGAAGAGCAAGGAGTAAAACCAAGACAAATTAAAGTAAATATTTCCTTATACATTTCTCACCTAATAAAATCACGATTTTTTCTTATTGAAATAAATAGCATGTAACTATTAAAGTACAGATCTCATGTCTTAATACTGAAAAAAAAACTATCCTAGAATAAATCAAACCAACATTCATATTTTTTTGGCAAAAAAAAGCATAATTTTGCCATTTGTGTAAAACTTACTCTGTAAATCCGTGACTTTTTTTTATTCTTCAGGTTTTCCATTGTTTAGTGTGCATTAAGCCTTACAACCTACTTGTACCTAATCACACACTGCATATCTGGACCTGAGCTATTAGCTGGCATGCTGATTACTCCTGCATCTATGCTCTTAATTGGGGAGCAGCCAATGAAGTTATTCCCAACCCAAATCTCCTCTGCCTTGTTGTGCTCTTCCAGCCACAAACTAGACACAACCACGGTGTTTTCATGCGGACACCACCGTAAGAGAGGTTGCAGGGCCAACAGGCATTGCAGATTTACCTGGTGGGTTTCCCAGAATTTCCCCAAGTCCATCCCCTGCTGATGAATCTTTGCTATGTCAGTAGTGGTGCCTCCATATGTTAGTGTTTTATAATACCAATATATAATATCACCCCTGTAATAAAATATCCACCACCGCCTTTGGACTAACTGCAGATCAAATTTTAGAAATGAGATTTTTCTTGGCAACATCTGCACAAATGAAAAATTAAATAGTTTTACTAAGAAAAACAGAAACCCAGGCACTAAAGTCTAACTTCTTTTATTACATCTAGAAGGTGGTAAATTATTTCTTCATATACTTCTTTTGGTATGAAATTGCAGGGTAGCTCCTAACATTTCTTAGACCTTCACCTCCTGGACTTAAAAAAAAAACAGTGAGAATTTCAAAAATTATGTATTTGTCTCTTGTAAAAATGGGATGTAACCTTTAGTGAGGGATGAAAAAGTTGAAGAGATTTTCCATGCTCCTCATTGAAAAGACTATACTAACGGTCATGCCTGACACATAAAAGCTCGTAAAAGTTGTTATGAAACATTTTCATAAGACTACGAAGCTGGTATAACAAAGTACAATATTAATTTACTTGTCTTTTCTCTAATTCTGTTATCAACTTGTGATCAGTGGGAACAGGGAATCTTGAAATGATTAAATATAATTTTTAATGTGTTAGAATATTTTAGCAAAAAATACAATTATTCTATTACTTTTCATACATTTAGCCCTTTTTGAATGAAAACAAAATGTCCATCTTCTATGATGAATTGGATGGAACTCACTTGGTTTGCTTTTCACATGCTATTTCTGCATATGGCACAATTCGTAAGACTTGATGAAAATTCCAGAAAGAAAATGCTTTGCAGTTTCTATTTGTACAGGACAGCAGATAAACATCTTCAAACTCCATCAAATGAACTGAAGAATGATTCATCATTTCTCATGAGCCCAATAAAAAGCGATAGATCATAATCAAGAGCACAATTTCTTTTTTTTTTTTGCACAATTGTTTTACATCACACACAATGCGGTCACCTGCAAGAGAAATTTCATTAGAACTTTCTGTCAGTTATGGTCTGTCATACAGGAGATACAGGCTTCCTTCTCAACGCTGTTGTCTCTGGAGCAGTAACAGGAGGCGTAGGCGTGTGATTCGAACACCAAAACAAGAGAGCACAGCACTCCTTTCATTTTTATTGCAGAGCCCAGTTCATAATTCAAATTATGATCTTCTCTAACTCTGGTATTTAATTCACCTGCAAAAAAGCTGAGTGTTTTGTGGAACTAAGAAGGAATCAGAAGTGATATCTGTGGTTCCAAGAAGAATATGGAACATGATGGAAAAATCGTAACTAATATGATTGACATGTAACACATACATACTTACCCAACCAAACACACCCAAATGCTTTTCCCTTATGTTTATTATGAACAAGCAGGAGTATCTGGTTTTTTGATTGGCCAATAAAACCGCATTAACACTCAATAAGAATTAATATATTGTTTAAAATAGTCACTGATAATATTTTGTATTACTGCAAAAAGGATCAAAGATTGGCACTGATGCAGTGTTGCACTTGACAGTAACTATTCCTGTTTTCTTATAGGCCTCATTCTAACCTACTTTAGGGGTTAGTAAAGTACTACATATTTATAAAACCATGTTGACCATAACTGCTTTCACAAATATTGGTTAGAGTAGTCATAATTTTTAACATAAACCCATTAATTACAGATTTGAATAGTCCAGATTTAGGTTTCCTAAATGGACTTTTTTTTTCAATTTTCAGATTAGCATTGGCCATGGACAGCCTATTACTAGCCAGATGGGCAAAGAACACAGAGGAATGTGTAACTGTAGTAGTTTTGTACAGAATCTATCACAATGCTTAAAAGAAATCACCAGTGAAATATGCAACCTCACTTTAAAGAAACAGGCAAACCTAGGAATCACAGCTGCAGTGTTTTACATTCAGGTCCATCTTTGCCCTCTATTAAAATTCCCTTTGAGTAGATATTATTTTTCATGTAGCACATCAAAGGATAATGCCTTGCCAAATGTTTCTTAGAGATTGTTATAGAACTTTGGGTTTCATTCGGTATTATACTTATCAGACTCCTTGCAGGGTGTGATTCATTGTCACCTATCTCCACTGTGTCCTCTCTAAATCAGGCCTTCGTACCACAACATTCACTTGCAACCTTGTGAACTGTGCATCCAACAGGAGATGTTTACCTCCTTAACCTATCAGAATTCCATCTTAAACTTACAGAAGTATATTTTTCAGTGGGGTCTTCATCCTGCATGCTGTTCTGTACTAGAAAGATCCAAACAGATTTTGCTAACAATATTATTTACCTGGAACGAGACCCCAGAAACCCTCAGTAAAGGTGGTTAAGAAAGAAAACAGGTGAAAAAATGTTCGGAAATTATATATAAGATTCCTTTTTTCCCCTAATTTAAATCATTTTAAAATGCTTCTGTTCAGCTGCCAGTGCATAAAGAAGTTTAATTTGGCATAACTTCTGCTTGGAAGAACACAATGTCCTGGAGTGGGTTTTCTTATGGAAAGCTTTTCTTTTAGCTTTCAGTGTGCACGATATACACCAGTCCTATACCAATAAGCTAAATCCAGAGAATGTATGTAAACAGAAAGGCAAAGGGTGTGCATTTCCCATTGGTAAATGAGTCTGAGTTTAAATTAATGGAATCTGGGATTCTAATTGTCATGCAAATTACAGTAATTTATAATATCCTCTGATTTGTCTGACTTTGTTCTTTCTATTTTTTAAACCCAAATCCTCAGATTTCTTCCTGTGATTTATTTTAGAACAGCACTTTGATTTGATTTTGCACATAGGGATACAGCTCTTATTACAGGTATTATTATGGCTAAGCTTCTTTCATATTTGTGCCTAGAAGTCCCAGAACAACAGAAATGGAAACCACTAGCTTCGATATAAAGATGAATTTTCTTATTGCCACTTATAAATAATAAAAAAAGAAAAAAAAAAGTTTTCAGTTTTGTCTAATAAATTCAGTGACAACTGAAGCTCCTTGCAAAACTTTTCTGGCATTGTGAAAAGCATCTTGTGATATTATAAAGATAATTGGAAACACCATTAGAAGGAATGATCTCAATCTTGCATTAGAAATCAAACACCCTTGTTTGTCAGTATGCTGTTTTCATCAACTAAAATGAAAACTTTGATATCCTTCAGTAATGATACAAAATGCTTTAATTATTCTCTTTAAAGTGATTGTTTTGGACCATCAGAGCAGATTATCATAAGAATTTTTAACAAACTTTTGATGTTTAAAGTCACACTAAGAATGAGCTATATCCAAGTACAGAAAAAAACCAATATTTTATTTATAATCTTAGTTTAGTGTTTGAACTACAAATTCTGGTTCTAGAATTGCTTAAAAGATCATGGGTTTTATAGGCTTTCACAAGTAAATTAATTTTTGGTTGTTTTTTTTTTTTACTTTTTTTTCCATTTTTTTCACAGAATGGTGCTTTTGGTAAATACAGAGCAAATCATTACATGGAGAAAAAAAAGGTGTACTTGTTTTTCTCACTTTCAAAGTTACTGTTATTACTCCATTCTCTGTTGAATAATTTGAAAAAGGGCATGAGAAAACAAAAGAAAAAAGAGAAAGTGACAAAATAGACCGAATCTCACCACTAGAATTCACCATAAAAATTCCCAAAGTGTAACAGAATTCTTACAAAATTTCCTAGATCAGTTCTTTTAGGGAATCAAGATCTCCTATGAAAAATATGGCAAATGGGAGTTGGGGTAGGTTGGGCAGGAAAACGGGAACGAGGAGGGTAAATAACTGCAGCAAAAACAGGTTCTGAGGAATACACATAATTTTGTCTGCTTTAGATCACAATAGAATTTTTAATAAATAAATTTCTTTTTCTTTGTAAAGACACTTTTGAAACAGTAGATTTAGCCCAGTCATTTGTGTCATTTGTTTTATAAACCATCTTTTGTTGTCCCCCCACCCCACCCCTTAATGTCATAAATGTTTTAGATTTGAGTCTCTTGAACATTGTCTTTCGAGTTCATTCGGATCAATAACGGTTCATGCACTGAACTGTGTATTGAATTTATTGTGTTAACTGTTGTTGTGTGGTTGAAAGGAGATTTATAAGAGTTATAGTGATTTAAGTGCTCATGCTCTATTGCTGGCATGGGCAAATGACTCTCTATGGGTGTGTCACCTGTAAGCTCATCATCCACATTAATGATCTCTACAGTCCGTGTTGGAGCATGATGGTTCTGCCGGTGATGCTGTTTCCTCATTTTGTAGAAAATTACCAGCATCACAGCAGCCATAAGAGTGATAGCCACAAAACAACCAATTATGATTTTGGTAGTCTTCATAACCTCATCTATTCCTGGGATCCCGTTGTTTGTGTCCGTCACAGGAATGGTGAATGTTTTTTCTGTTGATCTTGTGCTCTGTGGAGTGAGTGAGGTTGTCATGTTAATGGTTTCCCAGTTGGTAACTGGTGTGGGCCCAACCTGCTCTGTGGTCTGTGCCTCATCCTGAGAAGGTTCCACAGTCTCTACCGTGACGGTTGAAAAGTACGTGTAACCAGGGTTATCCAGGGCGGTCACATTCAGCGTGGCAGAAGCCGTGGTATTCCCGACAGAGTTACTCACCATGCACGTGTACAAACCCGTGTCTTGCACAGTTACCTTTGTAAAATTTAATGTGCCATCGCTGAGCACAGCAATCCGAACTCTGTATGCCCCATGCGTCATTACAGATCCATTTGGAGTAATCCAAGATACGGAGGTCAGGGAGGTCGATGCCCGGCATTTCATCTCTGCAGCCATGCCTTCCGTGACGTTGAGGTCTGCTGGTGGCTCCACTATGACTGGAGCATAACATGTGAAGTAATTCAGGTCCAGCTCACCAATGTACCTTCCTTTTAAACTGGGAGGCGTGTGGCAACGTGCACAGCATGCAGTATTCGAGGGTGCCTTGTCTTTAATCCACCAGCTGAGCCAAAGGATATCACAGTTGCAGTTCCAAGGATTGTGATGCAAGTGGATCCTTTCTAGGCGGAGTGGTGTGAACAGGTCATGAGGCAGAAGTGTTAGATTGTTGTGTGCCAGGTTGATCTCTACAAGCGACTGAAGGTTATCAAAAGCATTCCTTTCTATCACTTGAATCTGGGACTGTATCATCCACAATTTCTGAAGATGCATTAACCCTTGGAAAGAACCTGGCCGGATGGCAGTCAGGTGATTCCCAGAAAGATCTAACTCATCCAGTTTTACAAGCGGAGTAAGGTTAGGAATCTCTCGAAGATTGCACATGGCAAGGTTCAAATACCTCAAGTTGGACAGACCTTCAAAGGCACCTTCTGAGATGTACGAAAGCCTTTTCAACTCCCCCAGATCCAACCTCCGGAGAGAAGGGATTCTGTTAAAAGCATAAGAAGGGATGCTCTCAATGGGGTTGTTTCTCAACCACAGTTCCTTCAGTTTTGACAGGTATACAAAAGCCCCATTTGGGATAGTGGTCAGACGATTGTCAAAGAGTTCCAAAGTGTTGAGATTGGCCAGACCATTGAAAGCCCCTATTTCAATTGTTCTGATGTGATTCCTGCTGAGCTGCAGGATTTCTAGGTGCCTCAGATGCTTGAAGCTATTAACTTTAATGATTTGGATCTGGTTCTCATGGAGATTGAGTAGCCGGGTGTTGGTGGAGATGCCGTCTGGCACGTCTCTAAGGTTTTTCCGTACACAGATCACTTTACTGAACTGGTTGCTGCAGGAGCAGACAGAAGGGCAAGTTTGAGCCCTCACTAAACCAGCCACCACAAGAAGCTGAAGAGCCAACAGCACTACAAGCAGGGGGTCAAATAGGGCCCTGTTAAACCTAGGACCTATCATTATCTGCTGTGGATGTAAGGTCATCTTGTTCAACATTCATAATTTATTTGGTGTTGGTCCTTCTGGAGTTTGAATCGTCTGAAAGAAAGGAAGAAAGGAGAAGGAGAACATTAATCTCAAATAATTGTGTTCTCTCAACAAAGGCTTCCTCAAGTCCTTTCAGTCACCTCTACCAATTTCTTGAAATTCGATAGTGGGAACAGGTAAAGAATTGCTAATACTATTTTTCTGTACAGATATGTACGTCAGCTGCAGCTGGCAGTGAGATAAGAAATAGCCATACATTAGTTCTCCTGCACATTCCAATGTACAATGCATGTAGGTGGATGGCAGATAAGAAGTTCAACCACGGTGAATACCTGAAAGAAATGTAACTCAGGGGAGAGTTGAAAGAAAGGACAAGCATCTTAAAAGGCAAAGAGTTAGCAACATAGGAACATAGTAACATTGGAATCTACTAAGATAGGAATTATCAGAGTATTCAAGGTGATAACCTTTTTTACACATTGTAAGATAAGACAACAGATAATATGAAAAGCAAGTGAGACTTCTGTGGTATGGATAAAAATCTTTGTCTATACACATGATTCCTGAATCAGACTTTAACCAGAAGTAATTCTCTAAAACTGTCATGCAGATAACAGGGCAAGATCTTGCCTATAAGAATTAAAAAAAAGTAAAGAAAAAAAGAAAAAAATAAAATAAAGAAGCATGCTCCATCCAATTTAATGATATGTCCTCTTCAATTCTTTTATTTGGCACCCAAAGCAAAGAAAAACTCATCCACAAATGTATACTGAACACAGAAATGAGAATAGCCATTTATTTAAATGCTGAAAAATATCCCTGTAGCTGCAGGGCTGGCAGTTTCATTGGCACCTTGAAAAAACTCGCAAAAAAATTCTTACTGCAAAGGGAAAAAAGACCTTTACACTACAAATGATCATTACTATTTTAAGAACTTCAGTACTGATTCATGTGTGGCAGTTTTTACAGTCCCCAGCATTCAATTCATTTTCAATCTGCTGCTCAGTTCAAGATTCCTCTGTAGCTAAGATTAATGAAATTTCTATAAAACAGCCAAAAGTGAAGTCTTAGAAATTACAGCAAGCTCAAAGCATATTTATAACCTAAAGCACCGAAATGGATAGTACATATATATTCAGTAAAACAAAATACCATAAGGCAACAGTTTTCCACTCCAGGCTCCAAATTGATTCATTTTGTGTAAAAAATGGAGACCTTTCTTAAAAAAAAAACCAAAATCTCAAAAACCTCAAAAAAACCCAACAAACCAACCAACAAACCAAGCAACCAAAAAGAAAAAAGAACTCAAACAAGGAAAATATATTACCTTTCATCTCACATCAATTCATTTAATGAAAGACCTTTTTTTTTCTCTAATTATATATTCAGACAATGTGGTTTTGAGAATTCATTTCTGCATTTTTAAAAAACCTGTTATAAGTGTTTAGAGCCAGAAAGTGTTCTCATCTCATTTTTAATAATTTACTGCAGAGAAAGCCAATATAATGGCTAAAAAACTGTGAGGGGAACTAGAAAGTCTGGGCTTTATCTGTATGTTTGATCTTCCTGTATGTGCTATTTATAAAACATCATTCTTGTTATGAAAGATTCATGAAACTAATGTGTTTTGCAACCTTGAGCAAGTCACTCAACTTCTCTCTCTGCAGCTTACAGTTCGGTCCCATGGCTCTGGAGAACCCTGTGGCTGTAGTGCTAGATGTTACTGCTCCCACCCCTCCGTCCCTTCCCTCTGCCAACAACTGTACTCCTGAGCATCAGCTTCATGGGTTTAGGGTTTAGAACAAGGTACTAGACTAGATGAGGGCTGGCTGCTCAACACACCTTCCTTTTCCCTGCAGGCTCATAAGGTCACTTGTCTCTTCACAGGTATTGAATAGGATGTATGGAGAAACACTCTAATCACTAAAATTCAAGTTCTCTTGCAAAAGTCCAAGTGTAGTAAAAGTATCTTCAAAAAGCAGGTGAAAAGGCCATAGTTCCCATCTTTCTTACATATTTTTGAAGAGAAGTCTGCAGTTGTGGTCAAACAAATACTATTAGAGCCAAATATCGAGTTCCTTAGTTAAGACCCATGAATTTTGCTGCTGAATAGTAATTAACCATCATCTGTGACAGTTAATGTGATTGTATTAGCATTTTTGTCACCTTTTTTTTATTATTATTATTTTTTTTTTTGTTCAGTAATTTGTTTTTCCTTTCTCATTTTTAAAATTCTTCTAAACTTTTACCCTGAGGACTTGGACTGAATATTGAATTCCATTAACAAGTAATAAAACAGAGAGAAACACAACAAACCAATTATTTTACCATTACACTGGTGCAATGTTTTTGTCTTCACTGAGACTGGGATGAGAACTCAGCCTGCTGTGCCTGCATTCAGAGCTGCCAGTTACCCTTCTGTACAAGTGAGGTGAGGCACAGGCAGCACGTGGGGCTTGCAGAGGTACAGGAATCTTCTCAGACCAATTCTCTACCAAAGGCCAGATTTGTAGGATGTCATACAACTTCTCTACCTTTCTTTTTGTGTCTGTCTGCTCTCAGTCCTGCATCCTGGGTTCCCTGAAGGACCATGGAAAGTACTGCATTTGTAGAACAAGAAGTACAGAGAAATAAGAAAGGCCATGGGGGAACAAGTACTCTCAACATCAGACTATGTATGCACCAAGCCCCTTCAGCTGCTCTCTCCTAGCCTATGTAAAGCTGATGATCCCAAGCCATGCTGCAAGCACTCCAAGGCACTTTCCTCCTGTTCCAGTTACTTGAACCTGATGGTATCTCCCAACATTTCCTTTACCTAAATCTTCATCCAGCAAATCTTCCCTTTTCATCACTACACACGTGCTCCATGGGGGAAAAAAAATAATTTTATCTGAATACAGTACATCATTACAACAAATAAATTATCCAGTTATGAGACTGATCAGTAAATGTTGTCTAACCCTAACCCAAATATTTCCATGTCTCAGTTGCAAAAAGATTTTTGAAATCAATGCTTTTATCTAAATTCCCTATATCCTTCCTATTTTTGGTTATTGACTGAAACAATGAATCATTCACATAGAACAGCTTTTTCCTTGTACTGAAGGCCAAAATTGCCTGTGGCTTTTACATTTACTGTTCTCCCTAGTCCTATGCTAGGGATGTCTCAATCAAACATATGCCTTAGTAAAATGATCTATCAAGGACCTCCAGGGAAATCTGACACCCTCAGCTTTCTGTAAAATCTGTGCATACTTCAAATAAAAGTTTGGCTACTGACTAATTGATAGCTTCTCTGAGTCCAAAATTTTGAAGACAGGATCCCCATTTTGTGATATGTGAATACAAAGTTCTAGATGTGTTTTCACATGTATTCGTATGTTTGATCTTTCTGTGTCTAAGCCATATCCTGTTTAATATATAAGTACAGAATATCTATATTTCTATCCCTCTGCAACATTTTCCAGGGGACAGTGAGAGCAAATCTTAGTTTTTGCAGCCACCACGATTTAAATTTGGATTTATTTATATTAGTTAATTTTCCCCCCTCTTCATTGGCAATACAAGAAGCAAAATGCAGTTTTTAGGACAAGACAACACTAAGTGGACTTGGTGGTGCTGAAGTACAGGGGAGCTGATGATCCAAAAAAGGTGACCATGACCAGCAGAAAATAGACTAGGCAATACCTTGCTAGTCCTCACTTCCAGCTAATGAAGTTTGCATGAGGCTGTCATAGGGCAGTAAGATTCCTAGTAGCAGGAACAATGTAGTAAAAAGATAATTTCTTTTATGCTGGTGGTTTTCCAGAGCTCAGAACTTAAATATTCAGGAGGCCTTGCTGAAGGTATTTCATATCAGGGTAATTTTAAATCATAAATATCTTGGAAATACTCTGGAAAAACAATTAGCCAGCACAAAATCACAGTGGAAAATTAATTTTAAGCCTTGAAGGGTGTTATGGAAATATTTTAATGGACTTTACATAAAGATCCATCTGGAGCTCTGTACTAGAGTAATTTGCTATTCAATACCTATTTATGCTAGAGACACAGGAAAGTTTAGGTTGACAAACCCACACATGGAACACAGACCATCAACCACCTTCTTTAGTCTATGTTGACGCCTCTTTGTCATCTAAGTAATTTTTTTTTTCATTTTTCTAGTACCAAAATAGCAACTCTATGGTCAATTCAATACCACGAGTGCCCTCTGCTGTATAGACTAAAAAATTTAGTTTAAAATGTTAAGAATTTCCTTACTGCACAGTTGGTTCCCCAGACACAGTACAATTATCAAATGTGTTTCCAAACATGGCCTTAAGTCTGTCTGTGGCACTGCTCTAATTACTACAGCATATATCATCTTTTTTTTTAGCACAGTAATGTATATTCCCTTTATGGCCATGGAGACATTCCCAGACATACATGGAGAGTTGTTTGTTTGGTTTTCTATTTGCACAGAAATAGAAAATCTTTTTTTTTTTTGAAATTGACATTTTATATGCACATTCTCCTCTCTATATCTATCTGAGTCTTTGTTACTCCTTGTTACTCTTGATGTACTACACATTTTCCTCTGAGATAAAAGCAGTGCCCTCTTAAGATCCACTGCAGAAGAGGAAGCAAGGAATGACAGAGCTAATCCAGCTCTCTAGCCAAGCACAGTGTGGCTTTCCTTAGGGACAGCTTGAAGGATGCCGTAATTACCCTACTGAAACATAACTTTGCCAAATGTGTATGCAGAGATGTTTTCCTTATGGGCACTGTAATAGTACAATATCTCCTTTTTTTTATTCCTTTGGTAATTGGGTCTTGAGCCTGACGTGCTTTGTTCTCCCTTTGCGGTACTACCAGGAGAAAGTGACTATGCTCCCTCTGATCGCTGAAAGATTTTCCTGTAATGGGGGGCTTTGATAATAAAAGAGAACTTCCACACCATTTCCAAAGATCTGCCTAATGAGGTATGGCAGGTGGCAAAGATATTTCCCCAAGCTCCAGTGACCCTTAGCTGGATCACTGGCAGTTTAGTTGCTGTTGGCAACTCATACTTT